TGGCCTAAAACATACTCCACACCTTTTGTTCCTGACTTCTGATCTTGGCCGCTGTCTGTCTTTCCTTCAGGTGGAAAGGACCCTCAGTACCATCTCAAGCAGTAGGAAAGGACTTGCTCTTGCATATATTGATGCTCACCATGCAAAACTCTCAGGTCTTCATTAGTCATGTCTCAGCTCAAGGATATCAGATGTATCTCAGCAACAAGGATATCAATTGCTAAGGAATGAAACACACTTGAAAATGAGATTGACCTGGAAATTTTCCCCCCTAATCTCTTATACCTTAATTGGGAAAAAAAAATCTGTTTAATTCTATTTTAATTAGGACATACAGAGTTGACCCTCCTTGAAAGTGAGTAGGGAAAGCCCTGAAGATCTTCCTCACCTCCATTTGCTTTTCTATAACCTTGTCTCCACCAGCACCACAGGGCAGACAATCACGGTGGGTCCAGGGCGACCCTCTTTCATGCAGGCTCCGCCATGATCTCTGAGTCCTACTTACGATCCATGCAATGAAGTTAGAAGTAACTGATAGCCTTTGCAGATAGCTGGGCAAATGGGTGATTTAATTCTCATTCTAAATGGAGGGGGCTCTCTTTGAGGCTAAGCAAGGGGGTGTTGTACGCTAGTTTCTAGACTTTGCCTGGAGCCCCCTTTGGAAATCTGTCTTCTTTTCAAACTCAATATGCCTTAATCATCTGTGTGCCATCGAGTCATCCAGCCCTCCTCCCCTGGGGCTTTGGCTGTCCTCAATGAGAGTCTCATGCAGAATGGAAAGTCCTCTATATGTATAATCTTTTTCCTCCCTCGTTCCTCTTCCTCCTCACCTCCCTTTGCACGTCAGCATTTTGACAGCTGGTCTTTTGAGAAGCCTGTATCTTTTTCCTCTCCAGTAGATACCCGTCTTCATGGTCCTTTGCCCAATGAAACAGACGCCTTTGGCCTTTGAAAACCCATGACAAGGCCTCAGAAATCAGTGTTGTGGAGGATTACTCCCTGCCACCAGAGAAACTCTGGCGAAAGAGAAACCTTGTGGTGTTGAGGATGTTGGGATTTTGAGTGAACCTGACCAGATAGCCTCAGGTTGTCTAGGATTCAGGGAAAGGACAATCAGACCATGGTGTTTTCCAGGGGGACATGCCAAATCACGTGGTTTCAGACAATGGTGTTTTCCTTTGTGCCTCCCTGGAGGGGTGGTCACTTTAAGGGCATCGCTAAGAAGCCAGAACAGAAAGGCTGGACAAGGGATTTGGGAAGACCCTTAGTGTGATTTTCCTAAGAGAGACCTCAGCTGCTCTGACCTGGTGCTGATAGCTGCTTTGTCGGTCTGTGCTTTCAAATTTTCTTTACAATATGCCCCCAGATGGCTTCTGGAACTAGTCATAATTGCAAACTGTAAAAATCCCTCCTCCCCAGTTTAGGTATTGAAACCAGAGTAAGTGATAGGAAGACATTCTGTGTTCTCTGAATGTGCCTTCCCCCTCACCATGTGTCAAAACCCAAAAGCTGAAGATCCACGGCATCATGATGCCATGGGGCTGGGGGGAGGGGAACCTACTCCACTTCTAGAGGGGGATCTGCTTCAGGCTCAGTCCCCTTAGCGAGTGGGGGACCCTTGCTGTCTGCTCAGAAGCTGCCAGGACTCACCCAGTTGGAATTCCAGGCAGGCCAAGGCTCGGGAAGCCTAGAGCCTCGTAAAAAGCCGGTCGGCGTGAATGTGCCGGGCCTTTACCAGCCCTCCTCTCCTTTTGCACCCCTCAGTCCAGCGGGTTTTTTTCCTTTTGCCTCAGTTGGCCCCTGCAGGGGGAAGGGCAGAAAGCTGGGCCCTCTGCTCTGGAAAGTCAGCCCGAGGTTTCTGGCAAGTTAACGCTTAAAATCGACACCTCTCGGCCCTGCCTCCCCTTTGGCCTTCCCAGAATCTCCTTCAATAGTTGCTCTCGTACCCGTGCCGGGACATCTTCCTCCATGACTTGAACTGGCACCTCCTTGACAATCCCTGTTGGCATCAGACCGGCTAAAGATGATGCTGTTTTCTAAAGAATTTGAATTTTTTTTTTCTTGAGACCAAGTCTCGCTCTGTTGCCCAGGCTGGAATGCAGTGGCACAATCACAGCTCACTGCAGCCCCCAAATCCTGGGCCCAAGCGATCCTCCCACCTCCACCTCCTGAGTAGCCTAGATGACAGGCGCACGCCACCACGCCTGGCTGATTTTTTAAATCTATTTTTTGTAGAAACAGGATCTTACTATATTGCCCAAGCTGGTCTCAAACTCCCGGTCTTAAGCGATTCTCCCGCCTCAGCCTCCCAAAGTGCTGGGATTACAGGCATGAGCCACAACGCCCAGCTGAATTTGAGCTTTTTAATAATCTCATTCCACATAGCCTTATAGATCCTGTAAATAGGGGGTCACAAAAGTAATATATTGTGTTATGGAAGATATTTTGTACTGTGCTGTTTCCTAAATCATACCAATATCCGAAGGTCACACACTTTCCAGATGATCGTGATCGTTAAAATGCTTTGTAAGATGGGGCAGGGCGTGGAAACACACACACACACACACACACACACACACACACACACACACACACACGTATAGTATATATTTTCCTAACCTTTCTTCTGGGTCCTTCCTCAGATATTTGAGTCACAGTAGAAACGGAACTCGAGTTCTTTGTGTAGGAAAGTTAAGCTTCCTACCTGCGGTGTTCTTGCAATTGCCTTATGAATTCACAAGCTCCAGGAGTTCTGAACGGAAGGCAGACAAGAGGCACTTTATCCAATTCCAGAAAGAATCTCTAACCATGCAACTGAGAATTCATCTAGAAAAACTTATATTTTTAATGTAAAAAAAAATGGGGCATCCCGGACCTCACAGAGTATTGGACATCTACAAGTGCTTTTATATTTTGTAACTGTAAAGAGGTTTCATAGGCACAGAAGAGCAGTTGGAAATCTGGTCGACTGCAATAAAACAAGATGACCTTTGCATGTACAAAGATGTTGCATTCAGACTATGAAAATAGCAAATAAAGCTTTGGTGCAAGTTGCATTGGAGACGTCAGTGCGTCCGTGTGTGAATGAATGGAGCCTCCCATGCATGGAGGCCCTGACTGGGGCCGGCTGAGTCAGTCTGTCCTTGATGCTGAGCTGTGGACCGGCCAGCGAGAGGGCATCGCTGAGGTCCTGGGAGAGGGTGACCATGCAGAATGGGAGGCCATGGAAACAAGGCAGGATTTCCATTCAGACTGACAAGGGGTTCAGTCCTCGTTCTGCCACCTCCTGGCTGTCAGCTTCCTTTTAAGCACTGGTTCTCCTTAGCTATACAATGGGAGTGGTGATCGGGACATTCGCAGGTAAGAGTTGAAGGTGGCGTTCTCAGCCGGGTGGATGGTGCCCTCCAGAGCATATCTGGCAATCACAGGAGGCATTTTTGGTTATCAGAAGGAGGAGAGAAGATGCTCTGGGAAGACAGTAGAGGCCAGGGAGGCTGCCAGCATCCCACAATGCACAGGACAGCTCCCACCGCGACCCCACTACAAAGAATGACCCGACCCCAAATGGCAGTAGTGTCAAGGTTGAAAAGCCTGGATTGAGGAGATGTAGCACATCAAAGTGCTGCGCGCAGTAGGTCCGCAGGATCCTGAAAGGTGATGGGAGGGGGAGCCATGCCAGCCCCACTTCTGCCTTCCTCCTGCCATCCCAGCTGGCGGCAACTACATCCCAAATTAGGGAGTCCACACCAACTCTGTTTTCTATGATCTCCAGCAGGAAGTAGCCCCTTGGCTTGACCTGTCCAGAGAAGGCGGGGTGCTGGGAATAAAAGTCAGAAAATAACAGGCTCTGTGCGCAGTGCTTTGCTTACATGACCTCCAGAAATGGCTCACGTAGAGAGAAGTTTCTCCATTTATGGGTGAGGAGATAATAGCGCTGAGACCTTCAGGAACGCCCCCAAGGTCACACAGATCTGCCAGACTCAAGAGTCCAGCTGTCATTCACAGCATCTCACCACCCTCTGCCTCTAGCCTTGTAAACTCACTCCTTTGCTCCGTAATTATTTTATTCATACAATAATCTTTATCAGATATTGATCACACGCAAAATTATACTTTGTTAGACACTTCAAAAATTCTCGGGAGCTGGGTGCAGGTGCCCATAGTTCTGGTTACTTGGGGCACTGAAGAGAGAGGATTGCTTGATCCCAGGAGTTTGGGTCCAGCCTGGGCAATATAGCAAGATCCTGCCTCTAAAAAAAAAAAAAATTAAAAATGCCTGGATCTACTTTTTTTTGGTCATAAATGAGTGGACTGTGATGATCACTTTTATTTCTATCGAGGTTAAGATCCCAGGCCTGGGAGCAGGCCAGCCCCTTTCTCTCTGCTGGGTGATTCTGAGTGAATGAGCTCACTTCTCTGAACTCAGTTTCTCCATGTATAAAATGGAATCGTAACTCCTCCCCTACAGGCGGCTGGGTGAGGATTCCACACCGTGCTTATGAAGCTGGCATGATGCCGTGCGTGCAGTAGGAGTTTGATGATAGCTATTATTCGTGCATGTCTTCTACGTGAGGAGAGGCAGTCTGTGTTGGTTCTATGATGGCATCCTATGGAAACGGTTGGGTGGATTTGCACCCAAGTTGGAGAGTATGGTCAAGGTGACCTGACTTACATTTAGGCCACGTGGTATGTGGAAAATGGAGAGTCCGGGGTCCCTCACTTTAAGAACTAGAACCTTTCCAAAGGTTTCATGTACCCCAATAGGAAATGGTGAACCTGAGAAACCACAGAAAGGGAGTTGGTGGTTGTGGGGAAGACAATGGAGAGCTTCCCACCCTGCTTCCCGCAAAGCCAGTGAGGTCCTTCTGCCCCCAGGAAGTCATCAGAGGCTGTGGCTGAGAAGACAGGCTCTGGGGGCCTCTGTGGACCCGCTATTGGAGTGAAATGGCCTGGAGGGAATTGGGTGGACAGGGTGCTGCCTCAGCAGGCTGGGATGTGCTGGGCTGTCAGAACGCGCCCATAAATAGCATGCTCCTTGTGAAGGCAGGCCGAGTCTGCAGACAGCCGTGGCTCCTCTGTTCTTCCTGAGGCTACAGCAACAGGTTCATTCTGGGATGGGTTGGGGGTGGAGAGGCAAAAGCCACCCTGGCAGGCCTGGACCTTTGCTGGTCTCTGTGAAACATGCATGGCTGACCGCCTGCAAAAAAACCGGGGACTTCCTTAAGGTTCAAGTCCCAGTGAGGGGACCCAGCCAGCCCAGCTGGGGGTGAAACAGGGGGCCCTTGTCTGCGGTGGCCAGGGTCCACATCCCTGGACGTGTGCTTGGGGCAGGGGAACTTCAAAAGCTGAGTCTCTCTGAGGGAGAGGAGTGGACACGCATGTCCCCCAAGTCCCCCAAACGTCCTCCATGAGCTGGACCAAGCCCTGTTTGCTGATGAGGCTGGGACAGACAGAACAAGACAGCCTGCAGGCTGTGCCTGGTTGGGCATGCATCCAGCGTATGTGGGCTGTGCAGCTGTGCGTGCTGGAGTGGCCGTGCTGGGAGCTGTGCGGGGGGTAGCAGCTGGGTGTGGGTGTGTAGAGGTAGGCGCCTTGTCCATCTGCCCCCAGGAAGTCAGAGGCTGTGGCTGAGGAGACAGCCACTGTGGATGTCTGCAATGGGCAGGTGTGCGTGCGTGTGCGTGTGCATGTGCATGTGTGTGTGTGTGAGGGAGAGAAGCTATCCTGTGAGCCCCCCGGTGGGGATATGATGGACCATGACCATAGAAACTTGTGTGTGTGCACACAAAATCAGAACAGTCCTGCGTGTGTCCACGTGTGCAGCAATGATGAGAATTCTTCCGTGTGACTGTGGCAGGGGCCTGTATGGCATGTCACTGTCCCTGTAGCATGAAGGAGAAGTGTTGGTGGCGGGTCTTGAAGTGGCTGGTGTACAGTTGTGTTCGATAAATGCTTAAGGAATGAGGAACTGAATGCGGGGAAACTGACCTGACCTGGAGCAGGTGTCCAAGGACCTGGTCTTACAAGGGCTTTCTCTAGAGGTCTGTTTGTCCACCTCCTGACATTTGGGGTCTCCTGTCCATCCTGGTCACCCAGCCCAGATCCTGGCACTGTGTAGGTGCTCATGGAATCTTTGGTGAACAAAGGAACCAGCGAACGAGAGTTCCTGGAGTATGGTGGTGGGAGAGACCCTGTAGAGAAAACGCCCTGAAGCCTACCCTTTAGCCAGGGTCTGGGGGTGGTACATCTGCAGAGAGCTCTGAGGGACCTGGGTTTGGGGGAGCGTCTGCATCAGGGGAAAAGAGCACGGGGCTTTGGAGCCAGGCCCGACCCAGGCCACTTCCTTACTGTATGCCTGAGGAAGTGGCCTCGCTTTGCTGAGCCTGAGTTCCCCTCTGTACAATAGGGCCCCGATCCCACCGTCTCAGTCCGCAAGGCCCATGGCAGGCACTCAATGGATGTTTGCTGAATGACTGAATGACCGAATGTCAATCATAAGTAATGACCGTGTCCCATGGGCAGCAAGGTTCTGTAGCTCATCCTAGACTCCAGTCACATCAACACCTGGCTTCTCCCAGTGGATCCAGTGACCCATTTCCCTTTGGTTTGAAGCCAGAGGTGTTCCTGGGGAGATGGCAGCACAGCATGGAGCACCCGAGCAGGCTGCGGCTGGCAAGAGCCATGGAGGCCTTGGAGGCAGCTACAAGGTACTGGGCGGGGCAGGGGTCAGAGGGCTCCAGGCCCAGGGCTGCTCCTGGGTGTCAAAGTCGTCTTCCCAGCCAAGCAGCACCTCTGCAGAAAGGAAGAGCCATCCTTCCAACCCCCCAGGCCAAGACGAAAAAGCTCTCGTTTCATGGGTGGGTCCTCTCACTGCCACCCTCCTGTTAGAAACTTGCTTCATGAGCTCACTGCATCTTCCCTCGCCTGCAAAACGGAAATGGTCACCCACATCCTCCCTGCGTCAATGGATCAGAGGGGCCCGGGACTTTCCAGAAGCATGGTTTGCACTCTGACTCTCCTGTCTGACCTCAGCCTGGTGTCTTGCCCTCTCAGGGCCTCAACAGCCCCGTCTTTGAAGTGGGGGTGGTGCCCAGACTTCATGTCTAGAGTTGGTGTAAAGGCTAAAAGGCATGAGTGAAGTCAGCTAGCAGAGGGAGGCATACTGAAAATCTGAGAGAAGGTTTGAATGTGTTGGCTGTGCCCTTGCCAAACCATCTCTGCGATGGTTTTGGGAAATGACTGGAGACAGAATCTAAGGATGGGTTGAATCCCAGTGCCTCCTCTTAACTAGCTGTGCAGCCCGAGGCCAGTATCTTACCCTTTCTGAGCTTCTTTCATCCCTTCTGTAAAACGACTGGGGATCTTCTACAAAGTCAGTGTGTGTTTCCAGGGGGGCGAGAGAGGTAAAACCTTGGTCTGTCTTTGCAGCCCCTAGGCTTTGGTCTGTCTTTCCTAGGCTTGAGGGAGGCATAGGTTTTCTCAGAGATTCATTTGTCCTGCACTGGGTGTTTTAAAGGGGGAAATTTCACATTAAGGAAAATGCAGATTTCTGACCTCTCGTGAAAAAATTGGAACTGGGACATCATTCCCTCACTGCCAGAAGCAGCTTCATTTCCCCACGGTCCTCTCTGGTTATTTCAATCCGCTGGGCTCCCCGCCTGTCTCCTGCGGGACATTCGAGTTGCAATCCCTAAATTTAATTGGTCTCTGGAGTTCCTGAAGGCGTTTCCCTCCATGGCCATTAGAGGGCAGTGCAGGCACGCCTTGGTGCAGGCTCCAGGCTGGCGAGATGCCAAGAGGATAAAGCAAGTGATACTTCCCTCTGATGCCCCAGGGAGGGGCAGAAGCTGGAGCCGGGAGCCCAGCAGAGGTGGGATGGTTAGGACGCTGCTCTTCCAGGTGATCGTGTACGAGCTAGAGAACTTCCAAGGCAAACGCTGCGAGCTCTCGGCCGAGTGCCCCAACCTGACTGACGGCCTGCTGGAGAAGGTCAGCTCCATCCAAGTGGAGTCCGGGCCGTGAGTACCTAGACCCTCCAGGCCCTCGACACAACCCTGAGCCTTCTAGGGGTGTGACGGCCCGAGTCTGAGCTCTAGATCTGTTGTGGGGCTTTTGACAACTCCCCTGCCTTCTCGGGCCTCGTTTTCCCCATCTGTAAAATGAGAGTTGAAGGATTCTCTAGAATATTAGATTTCTGGAGCGAATCCCAGGATAGCTGAGATTGGAGGAAGAACAGCAAGGACGACCTAGCACCTAGCTCAGTGACTGGAACCTGGGATTCAATATTTATAATTTTAATAATGGTTGTAACGCATAAAATTTAACGTGCGTTGTGTCATTGAATCCTCATGACCCTGTAAGAGAGGTGTCATTCTTATTCCCACTTTATAGATGGGGAAACTGAGGCCAAAGTAGGTAAGTGTCCCATCTATGTCCACAGGCAGGCAGGTGGCCCAGCTGGGCCCTGAATTCCCGCCTTTCGGTTGCACGTCCAGGCTCTGGCACTAACCATGTGGGGGATCTTTGGCAAGTTGCTTCACACACCAGGCCTCTGTTTTCTCAGTTGTCAAATGGGGATGACAATGGTACATACTTCAGAGAAAGTTTGCATGAAAATGAATGGAACCATGCAAATAAATACATATTAATAACAGCATAATACAAAGAAGAAGAAGAAGAGGAGGAGGAAGAGGTTGCTGTCACCTATGGAATACTTACTGTGTGCCAGGCATTTTGCTAAAGACTTTTCTGAGTACCTTGCAGAGGCTAGATTCTCGATAACGTTTCCTAGGATGGCCTTCTGGCCCAGAGTCTCAGACGGTTCCTGGTATGCCCTAGCAGCTCCTTTAATTACAGGTCCAGGAATTAGCAGTAGGGTTGGAGGGAGGGTACAAGGTTCAAGGTCAGCACCTCTTGGACGTTTCTCTCATTAAACGTGAATCCTCCTTCAGCTGCAGCAAAAGTGACACCGCCAGGACTCTTCCTCCCGCAGGTGGCTGGCATTTGAGAGCAGGGCCTTCCGTGGGGAGCAGTTTGTCTTGGAGAAGGGGGATTACCCTCGCTGGGATGCCTGGACCAACAGCCGTAATAGTGACAGCCTCCTGTCCCTCCGGCCTCTGAACATTGTGAGTAAGGCTCCTGCCCACTTTTGGGAGTTCCTGGAAGCAGGGTGCACCCAGAGCTGGTCAGGCAAGCTCGTTGCACAAGCCGGACTGAGGCTTGGCCGTTAGGGACCTGGCCTGGGAAGCGCCCTCCTATTTCTGATCTGAACAGCTGTGTGGGTTAAGAAGTGGGATATTGAATGAACATTGGGTTGGGGGTTGAGACACAAGGACTCACATCTTGAATGAAACCAGCATAGCACTGGGACGACTTTTCTTTGTAACCCGACTAAAATGATAAGCCACATGGTCCAGTCTCAAATCAATATTGTTATCAAAGAAATGCAGTCCAGGAAATAACTTCAGAAAGTAATTTTAAAATACTTTAAGTTTTCCACTTGTGTTTCTCTAGCACCTGAAAGGGACACAGTCCATCCACAGTGACACTATATTTATTTATTTTTGAGACACACTCCTGTTTTGTCACCCAGGCTGGAGTGCAGTCTCTCTCTCTCTTTTGAAACATTTTTATTTATTTTTATTTCATTTTGAGATGCTGTCTCGCTCTGTCACCCAGGCTGGAGTGCAGTGGCATGATCTCTGCTCACTGCAACCTCCGCCTTCTGGGTTCAAGCAATTCTCCTGCCTCAGCCTCTTGAGTAGCTGGGACTACAGGCTTATGCCACCACGCTGGGCTAATTTTTGTATTTTTGGTAGAGATGGCATTTCACCATGTTGGCCAAGCTGGTCTTGAACTCCTGGCCTCAAGTGATCTGCCCACCTTGGCCTCCCAAAGAACTGGGATTACAGGCGTGAGCCACCACACCTGGCCCACAGCAATACTTTAAACACCACCCTTCTTCCTCCCTTGCTTCTCTCACACCTAGTAGCTGCTCCAGCCCTTTCTCCTTGTCCCATAACCGAGTCCTCCTTAGAGGACAGTGGAAGGGGGGAAACTGAGAAGATTGAGCTGGCCTCTGGTTAGGAGAGGGGAGAGCTCATGTGTGGTTACATTTAATCTCCATCCATTCTCTCCAGGCCTGTTTCTCTATCATTTAAATGAAGGGACTGAACAAGATCTGAAAATTCCTTTTCAGTTTCATATTCTATGGCTCTTGGTTCCTAAATCAACCAGCTCTGGAGGAATCTCCCCGTCCCTCCTACAGTGAATTTAGGGATGGATCCGTCTCCTGAGTCCCTTCCCTCCTGCAGCAAGTTTGGGGGTGGGTGTTATTTTGGGGTGACTTACTGATTCTTTCCAGCCTCTGGAGCCTCCTTGACCTCTGTTCTGGATATGGGAGCAGATGCTCACCCCACAATATTGCCCTCAGGATAGCGCAGATCACAAGCTGCACCTGTTTGAGAACCCAGCTTTCAGCGGCCGTAAGATGGAGATAGTGGACGATGACGTGCCCAGCCTGTGGGCTCATGGCTTCCAGGACCGTGTGGCGAGTGTCCGCGCCATCAACGGGACGTAAGGGACCCAACCCTCACCTTTGCCCCGTCTTCTGCTCAGCCATGCCTCTGGCTCCAAACAGAATCAGTGCCCATAGTTTCTTATGTGATTGATGGTCCCTATGCTCCTGTACTGTTGAGATTTCTAGGCAGACTTGACTTAAATCAAGTGAAACTATTCTCTCCACCTGTTCCCATTTGAGTCCTTCCCCCTTTTTTAAACATCCCCGCGCCCTTGAACTGTTCTTTTTACCAAGGGGCCCCGGATGGATGCAGCTATTGAGGTGTGACCCACGCTGTATGGAGGAGAGCAGGCTTATCACCTCCCTCTTTCTAGGCTTAATACCACCTCTGATGCAGTCTTAGGATCACCTGCTTTTTGTAGTTGGTTACTTCTCACTTGTGGGCTTGTAATCTGGGGTTGGGCTTTGAGAGGTGCCACCTATCCCTGATAATAATTTATTTAACAATTTTTTTTTTTGAGACAGAGTCTCACTCTGTTACCCAGGCTGGAGTCAGTGGTGCGATCGTGGCTCACTGCAACCTCTGCCTCCTGGGTTCAAGCGATTCTCCTGCCTCAGCCTCCCAAGTAGCTGGGACTACAGGCGCACACCACCACGCCCGGCTAAGTGTTTGTATTCTTAGTAGAGACGGAGTTTCACTGTGTTAGCCAGGATGGTCTCCATCTCCTGAGCTCGTGATCTGCCCACCTTGGCCTCTCAGTGTGCTATGATTACAGGCGTGAGCCACCATGCCCGGCCTATTCAACAGTTCTTTACTGAACATCTACTATATGCTGGTGTACAGATACAGAGAACAACAAGAATGGCATATCCTCTGCCCTCAGAAAAATTACACAGTCTGACAGGGAGACAGCCAGAGAAACAGGGATTCACAACAGTTATTGTGATCAGGATTGTGACTGGGACACACAAGGGGCTCTGGGGGTCCCAGTGAGGTACTCAATTCAGCCTGCAGGAGTCTGGAGGCATCTAAATTGAGATGTAGAGGATACAAGTGGGGAAAAGGGGGAAGGAGAAGGATGAGGTGAGGAAGAGTGTTCCAGGCAGAAGGAATCATACATCCAAAGGCCCACACACAGCAGTTTCCAGGGAAGTAGAATAAGAGAGGCTGTGGTGTCGAGTGTGAATGAGATATTGAGAGATAAGGCTAGAGAGGCTTTGTCAAGGGTCCTATGAGCAGGGCAAGGAGTTTGGATTCATCCTAAAGGCTCTGGGGAGCTAAGGAGGAATGCAGGCAGGCAGAGCACACGGTAAGTTGCTGGCTGGAGGCTGGGCGACTGGAAGCAGACCGTCCACATCCCAACCTTGGTCTCCCGGCAGGTGGGTTGGCTATGAGTTTCCCGGCTACCGTGGGCGCCAGTACGCGTTTGAGCAGGGCGAGTACCGCCACTGGAATGAATGGGACGCCAGCCAGCCACAGCTGCAGTCTGTGCGCCGCATCCGCGACCAGAAATGGCACAAGCGAGGCTGCTTCCTCAGCAGCTGAAAGGCACCCAGACCTCGAGGACCCAGACCCACCCTGCAGGGGCTGCCAGGCCAAGAGGAGGAGGCTCCAGGGCTGGGACGAGGGCCAACCTGTCCACCCTTCCCTGGAATCTGCTCAATAAAGCCTGGGGTTGTTCCCCCACCTGCCATGTTCCTCTCTCTGATCTTGTGTTTGTCTGCTGGTGCATCTTTCCATCTGAATGTCTATTCACTCACCCATCCATCCACCCACACATGTGTGCATCCATTCATCTACTAATCCATCCATCCATCCATCTATCCATCTATCCATCCATCCATGCATGCATGCATCCACCCACCTGCCCATCCATCCATCCATCCATCCATCCATGCATCCACCCACCCGCCCAACCATCCATCCATCCATCCATCCATGCATCCACCCACCCACCCATCCATCCATCCATCCATCCATCCATGCCTCCACCCACCCGCCCAACCATCCATCCATCCATCCATCCATGCATCCACCCACCCGCCCACCCATCCATCCATCCATCCATCCATCCATCCACCCACCCACCCATCCATGCATTCCATGCATGCATGCATGCATGCATCCACCCACCCACCCATCCATCCATCCACCCATCCATCCATCCATGCATGCATGCATCCACCCACCTGCCCATCCATCCATCCATCCATCCATCCATCCATCCATGCATGCATGCATGCATCCACCCAGCCACCCATCCATCCATCCATGCATGCATCCACTCACCTGCCCAACCATCCACCCACTCATCCATGCATGCATCAACTCACCCGCCCATCCATCCATCCATCCGTCCATCCACCCATCCATCCACCCACCCACTCATCTACCCATTCATTCATCCATCCATCTACCTACCACCCATTCATCCATCCATGCATCAGCCATCCATCCATTCATCCACCCACTTATCCATCCATCCATTCATTTATTCTTCCTTCCATCTTCCTATGTTATTTCTTCTTTCCATTAATTAATACATTTTTCCTTCCACTCACCCATCTTTCTATCTACGCTTTATCCACTTATCCATCAATTTTTCTTTCAATCTACTTGCCCATCAATCTGTCCATCTGATCTTCCTTCCTTCCTTCCTTCCTTCCTTCCTTCCTTCCTTCCTTCCTTCCATTATTTCCCCCTCCACCTCTCTGTGGGTCAGCATCTGTTGTCATTAATGTATTCAGCAAATGCCATGCCCTGTTCCAGACCTAAGGACACAGCGCAATGTCCCACCCTTCTCACCCTCTATGGAAGAGACAGAAAGTAAATAAACAGGTCGATTTGGGCTGTGGTGCTGGAAGGTGGTAAATGCCAAGAGCAATAAAGCTGGATAAAAAGTTGGAAGTGATGGGAATGGTGGCCAGGGAACTCTGTGCAGAGGAGCTGAGACCTCAGTGAACCACCAGGACATTCCAGGCAGAGAAATAAGCGCTGCAAAGGCCCTAGGCAGGAGTGTGCTGGCCTAACGGGAAGCAGCCAGGGGCCAGCAGGTCTGGAATGGAGTGAGAGACTGGGGCTAGGGGTCAGAGGGAACAGGGTCAGGTTATTTAGGGCTCCACAGACCTTAGTGGATTTTGCTTGTTCTCTGAGGGAGGTGGGAGCCACGGTCTGCTTTGGGGTTTAATAGGATTACTCTGGCAAGGGTGCAGATAATACACTTAAGTGGCCCGGGGTGGGTGCAGAGAGACCAGTTGGGAGGCTACAGCAGAGTCTGCTGAGCTGTGCTGGTGTGGTCCCCCTGAGCCTCTCTCTTCCATGCCTCAGCATCTCTGTCCCCTTGCCCAGAGGTCTTCTGTAGCCTTGCCTGGGGAACTGAATGCCCATCCCACCTCCCGCCACTGCTCTAGGCCCCTGTGGCTTCATCTGGGCAGTGGGAGTTGCTGGAGAGCTGAACAGGAACACTGGGGCAGTGCAGGCATAAATGAGGTCTCTTTTTTTTCTTTTTTTGAGACAGAGTCTCGCTCTGTCGCCCAGGCTAGAGTGCAGTGGCGTGATCTCAGCCCACTGCAACCTCCACCTCCTGGGCTCAAGCAATTCTCCTGTCTCAGCCTCCTGAGTAGCTGGGACTACAGGCGCCTGCCACTATGCCCGGCTAATTTTTGTATTTTTAGTAGAGATGGGGTTTCACTATATTGGTCAGGCTGGTCTTGAACCCCCAACCCCAGGTGATTCACCCACCTCGGCCTCTCAAAGTGCTGGGATTACAAGTGTGAGCCATGGTGCCTGGACATAAGTGAGTCTCTTCTGCCCCCGGTGGGAAGCCAGCTGATAGCGGATTTCTGGCAGACAGGCCCCAGGACCACCCCTCACCCATCCCACCTCCAGGCGTCAGTTCCTGACTTTGTTCCCCTGTTGTGCCTGCAGCCTGTCTCAGCCACCTGCAGCCTCCCAGTGGCTGATGCAGCTGGTGTGTGGGAGGCCTATGGGGGCCTCAGGAAGGCGTTGAAAAGGATATAGTAATTTTCAGTTACTTTAACCTGCATATTTTAAAAACATGCACAGGAGAGAAATCACCTTGACATTTTCCGAGCATATGGGAGACCTGGGTTGGGCATCAGGGTCAGATAGGGCGGGGGTGCCCAGCAGTGAGACAGATGGAATGCCTGCCCCTTTCTCCTCCCTGGATCCACCCCTTCCTCCCTTTCGCAAGGAGGGGCCTTGCCATGCTTTATTCATTTATTTTTTGGGATGGGTCTTGCTCTGTCTCCCGGGCTGGAGTGCAGTGGCGTGATCATAGCTCACTGCAGCCTCCAACTCCAGGTCTCCAGCGATCCTCCCACCTCAGCCTCCCAAAGCACTGGGATTGCAGTTGCATACCACCATGCCCAGCTAATTTTTAAAACGTATTTTTTGTAGAGATGAGGGTCTTGTTGTATTGCCCAAGCTCGTCTCAAACTCCTGGACTCAAGCGATCTTCCCACCTCAACCTCCCAAAGTGTTGGGATTATAGGCATGAGCCAGACGACTCCCAGTCTGTCATGCTTTTTTTTTTTTTTTTT